AATAAAATACAACAAAATTCATTTTGTTAATCATACAAAACAGTATCCAATATTTATAAGTATTCCAAAATGGATATAAAGCGCATATATAACTCTTGAACTCTTTGTCAAGTTAAAAACAATATTTTGGATTTGTAAACAGAGCAGAGGTGATATACATACCTATACGAATTGAACCCAGAATTGAAGAGGTTTTGGGTTCAGTGAATTCATTTGTATTAAGATTGAAATAGAATAGTGTTTTGAGGAGATACTAGAACTAGTTGTCTCATTCACTTAGGTTAATTGTGAATGAATAAATTCAGAAAATAGTTTATCATGATCTTTGATTGTTGTTTGTTATTCTTTTAAATGAGTAACATGATTACCTTTCATTATTTATAGTGCATTAGTTATTCAATGTATTTAATTTAAAAATTATTTATAGAGTTAGACAGGAGTAGAATAATCTTCATAATATTACACGGTTTGTTTATTCAGTCATTACATCAAATACCCGTATTTAACATGGAATTACAGCCGAATATACATCGACTATATATATTGTTTTACTTCAAACATTTTTTTATATTCAATTTTAAACTCAACAATAATTTTAGCCAAATATTTTACAAACATATTTTTAGAGTATTATTTTTTTTTTTCATTTTGTTACATTTTTCTTTTTTTTTCCTTTTTTATTACAAAAACAACCTCTGAACTGACTAGTGTGCGTAATTTCAGTACTAAATACATAAAACACACATACGTTAACGAACTAGGAACTCTAGCACACTGAAATATATTCATATATATATATAATTGTATATATATTTATATATTTATTGGTATGTACAGTACACATCACAATAACCTTGCAGTGTATAGAACGCAACACATGTTTTAGTGCCTACATTAATTCATTAATAGAAACAGTTAAAACGGCATTAAAATTATCACAGTATTATTTAGCTATACATCTGCCGTATTTCTTAATATATACAATATTAACACCTATACAACACTGATTATTCATAAAATTTCAATTTTATCAAAAATGATTTAAATACTGTTCAAATGCTTTCGATAACTCTTAATTCTAGTTAACCTATACCCAAGAAACTTTTTTACCTCAAGTAGACCATTCCATGTCACTGCTAATTTAAAGAAATAAAAATCTCAATATCAATAATACTATAGAATATTATTTTTAATTTTCAACTATAGACATAAGCACATAGATGTATTGTCATTCTATCTCTGCAAAGTTAAGAAACAATTTAAAAATTAACACTTAGAAAACACACTTCAGAAAAGAGAGAAAAAATGAAAGAAGAAAATATGTTGTTCATGAAATTTTCCACAATATGCATTTATATTGACTCACAGTTTTTATGTAACACATTAATCGTGTTAGACGATTGTCAAAATTTAAATGGTCAGAAGTTTATTTCATTAAAAAAAAATACAATTTACAAAATGGAAAACTTTTTTTGTTAAATCTTTTTACATTGAAGAACAAATTGATCATTTATATGATCATACATATATTTATACATATTTCTTCCATATAAAAACTGTATAAACCCAGGGAAGCAGGGAAACACTTAGTAAAAACCTTTAATATGATAAAAGAAATATTTAAAACTATTTAGTGCCATATTTATATAATCAAATTTCAATTATTATGTATATAATTTTACAGTTTTTGTTATTTTATTGAAACAGTAATCTTTTGTGAAAAATAAGTTTTTTACATATATTACAATTGAAGGGTTTTTGAATCATTTGAAATAGTATGCTATACAATACTTTGAATATTTATATATGTTTCCATTAATGCAGTTCCAATAACCAGTTGACTAGGTATTAAAAATAACTAGGTGAAAGAAATATCCCACACTGTTCCCCTTAGTCATTATTGGGTACATATTAGGATATATTCTATTATGTTATTTAGTTTATATATTCTGAACAACTATAAATTATATAAATAACTGGTTAAAAATATGTTGACTAGATGTACCAAAGAGATGAGATAATGATAAGGGAAACATTTCAAAGAATAACTCCTTACAATATACAGTTTACAATTAATATGAGATAGTTTAAATGATTGTAAATGTTCAATTAATGGCACACAGAGATAAACAAATGGATTTGATCTTTTTTTTTTTAAATTTTATGTTCTCCTTTTTTACAATGAAAGGTTTGGAGTTAAGAATTTATTAAGACTGGTATAAACACCAATATGTTCGATAAAGAAGTAAGTTCTGCAAAATGACACGTTACATATACCCACCAAAAAGTGTGTTATAATTTCTATAATACATGCTACAATATAGCAAAATACTTAAAAACTAAGACTAGAAGAATGGTAAGGTATAAACAAATATATGTATATTGTCTTCAAAAATGTGGGGCCAGCCACATCTCCAAATGATACTTTATCAACACAAATACTTATAAATAAAAACACCTATTAAGAATATCTTAATAAGAAATATAAAAGAAAAATGTTGAGCTCATAAATATAACACTACTGATCTAATTAAATTTTTCTAAACTGTTGAAAGATTGTACTCGCTCATTGATTACTTTACAGGTATGTTTATCAATGAGACCAACTATCAATCAACACAATTTAAATTTCCCAAATCACTTATCCAATTTCACTCATCACATATCTTAATTTTTTTTTCAACAACACTCTTAGAGAACTGGTATCAGCCCCAAAATTTATATTAACTTAATTGAGCTCATTTTGACTATAATTTTAGAAAAACAGCATTCATTGATGGTATAAAATATTTACAACAATTAAACTGGATAATACTTTATATAAAACACCTACAACAAACACATTGACACTTATTGAATTGTTAAAAAAGTGCATGAACTGCTATTAAATCATGATGAAGAATTAGAACCGACTGTTTATTTGCAATCTATTGCAATTACTGTCAGCATGTATCCCCCCACATTGTTGTTCTTTTTCCACGCTTCTATGCTTGAAAGTACTTCTAATACTTATGTGGCATTTTTCTTGAAATCAACTGCACAACAGAAGAAAACCTACAGGGTTCATAGATTTAGATATTTCTGTTAAAATTACAAAAAAAAAAAATATATATATATCTGATTGTATATGAAATGTTATTATTAATTACATTGGGGAACGAATGTAATTTTTAAATACTTATTCAAAAACATGGCTAAAAAATCAATTGATTTATATAAATAATTATGTATTTCATCTGACTGGAAAAAGTAATTGTCTCATTACTACAGGGGTAGATTTCGTTTATGGCTTTTTAGTTTTAAGATTTTCATTTATTTATTTATTTTCATTTATTATTTTAATCATATTATGAATTAAAAAAATGCATATAATAAAATAAATGATTAGCTTTCCATGCTATAAACATATTCTTAAAAACTTAATTTCAGTTTTAAGTATCGTATCAGCACTTCTTTATTTAAGAAGTTGATATGGTTTTCTGAGTGGTGCTGTTATGTAGAAAATTACTTCGGAGAACTCAAGGAATTTTTGGGAAGTGAAACCATTTCTCCATGGTTTATGGTCAGAGACACCAATGAATTTTGAACTAGTCGTAGATGAAAATAATGTTCTAGCAGAGTTGAGAATTAGAGCCGAACAATTTCAGGGAAACAATGAATCAAGATTTGATAAGTAAAAAGATGTAAAAAGGGTTCCACTATATAAGAAACAACAGCCTTATTATTATGCCTATATGAAACTCCTATTCTATACTTCTTTTTACAACTAACATTGGAAACCAAAATTAAAATAGGTTGTGAAACTCTGGAATAAACCATGAAGATGATTCAAAAGAAAAATAATTCCTCTTGATCACAAATACATAACATTGCACTTATATTTAGAAATTGAACATACAGGTAAGCCCTTAATTATTTTTGTTAAGCTTTATCAGCTTTGCTAAAGGTTAAACATTATTATACATAAAACCGTTAATAATTTGTATCATTCAAAAAGTTCCTTGAATAAAATTTAATAAAACTTTGGTAGTAAAGCATGTTGAGATAATACCCTAGTATACTTGATCAGCTGTAACATTGGGAAGAATCCAGCCTTGAAAGATCAACAAGATTTTACAAAATAAGAATTACATGGTGGATGTATGGAATATTTCTCAAATATCTTCTATAGGTGTAATAAAAAGTGCGCTAACAAAATAGCTGACAAAACTCAATAAAAAGATCATAAAAATGTGTTATATTTTTATACTACAGTTGCTAAACTGAGAAAGTTATACTAAAATGTCAACTTGGAATCTTTAAATCTTTTATGGTAAAAATCCTAATTTGGTATTAGATATATTGTCTGTCTATTTGTGTTAATACTTGCTGAGACAGACAGGGATATACATATGAAATATCAATTTTTTGGAATAATTTAACTTGTATTTATCATTATCTTAAAAATGTTTAATTGTTTAAATTTCCTAACCAGTTAATTCTAATCTATGAACACTTAGGGTTTCCAGTCCAGAAAAAACAACCAAAGTAAATTGAAACAAATAAAGCATTAATCGATAAATCATATTTCTAAGTGTTGTATTCAGTAATTGTACCGATAAATATAAATATAAAAATTAATAACAGTTTCATGTTTTTTTTTTGTTTTAAATAGTAGTTACAGTAATCATAAAAGTTGAACTTTTTCTTGATGTCAAGATCATTGGTCCCATGGACTATTCTACATTGACAATATGAATGTCTAAAATAAAAGTGGTTATAGCCACATTTTCTAGAAATAGGTTTCTATACAATAGAGGCAATCAATCCCCTGGTGATTTCCAATTTATTTGGTATTATAAATTCGCATTGTCTCTGTTAGAAAAAAAGTACTCAAAAAGTATTGAGTCCATAAAATATAATTTTCGAAGATAATGAAACACTCATTTACAATTGATGTCATTCAATTGTAAAATTTAGAAAGAAAAAAAAAATATATGATATAAAACATTGACAATAAAACTTAAAAATTATTTAATGGTGGCTTTTTGTTTGTTTTAGTTTCTATTAATTTCCTTAATATTTCTTAGAATGGGACCTGGCCCTTGTAAGACAAAAAAATGTCCATAAAAAAAAAAAAATAATAATTACACAAACTATTTAAAAATTCTATAAAAGCACGTCTAGATACGTTAAAAAAAAAAAATCTAAAATCTTAGATTAACTTGATGCATATGATATTTTATCTTATAAATTGAGCGAAATCATCTACAAACATTAACACACAAATAAAGTATAAATATCTGAATATTATCGTTGCACTCCATACAAGTTATCCACAAGAGTAAAACAGATCCAACAATCATTTTACAGCAATCCATATTTTATATGGAAGTTTTATTATTGAATATAATTTCGGTTGATATTACATTATTATTGGAGCAACAATAGCATTGTAAATGAGTAAATGATTTGTTGAGGGTTTTGAATGAAGAAACATAAACCTTATTTCTTAACAGAAAATACCAATTGTGTGAGAGTTAAATTTTCAAAATATAATATTCAAAAATGATTCTAATTCTTATCGCAGATTTTACCATTTGCCTTTTCATTATATGTACAAAGCAGAAAGAGTTGTGACACATCTTTTCATCTATAGATTTATGAGATCTTTAAATGAAATCAATAAAGTGATACTGCCTAAAACTTCTAAAAACAATTCTATAACCAACTTAACCGTCAATTATTAGGCCACACTTAATCTTTTCATATAATTACAAATTCAACTGAATTGAACTTCAAGATCAACCAGCTATCTTTCATACCCAGTATTTCAGATGGAGATAATACAATTTTCAAATTCTCTTTCTGAATTGATTAACATATTAAAATAATTGAAAAAAGTCCTTTTTTTTCTCTCTTCAAATTATGTCCATTTCTTCTGCACCAAACCATAACAAATACATAACCACTGCTTTCAGTAATTGTTATGGTATCTAGGCATGTATTATAAAATATTTTTTTTTTCACAAAATCAATCAATCTAATTCTACCCGACATAGAAAATACAACTTGCAAAAATACTGCATATTATCAAATTATTATAAAATATATATATAATATAGTTTTGTAATGATGAATCAAAAGTCATAATGGAAATAGATTCAAAATATGTTCAGTTATAATATCCCCTGTTCATTGCTGTTCTGTTTCTATTGTGCCACTTGCAGGTAAGAATTCTCACATACGTTCGTCTAAAGGAGGCATTACAAAGAGCATAACAGACAGGGTTGATGGTGCTGTTTATATAGCACAAGTAATAAAAGAAGTCCCAGAGACCTTTCGGTATACAGTCTGTACATGCTGTCAGTGGCTTGAGAAGTACAAGGATATTGTATGGCGTCCAGGTAATAATAAACGTCAATAGAATAGCAGATAATGTCTTTGCAGCTTTTTTATCTGCTTTTTTCTCTTGAGTTTTCTTTTTCTTTTTAGGTGGTATATGCTGCCTTGCTCCAGGAGCTAGTTGTTTAGGAATAATTTTAGTATTGAGAGGGATCCTTATGTCTGAGATATGAGATGGTCGTCTCCCAACAGCCTGGTGGTGGTAACCTCCGGCAGGATGGAGAGAGAGTGCATTGTAATCCACTGGTCTTCCTCTGACTGGTGTAGTGTCTTCAGCAATCATCTTTATCGATGGTTGCTGCTCTCCAACACCATCACAACTATTGTCTGCAGGTAATCGGATTAAGATTGTATACACCTAAAACATCAGGTATATCATATAAGTAATACAAAATTATAGAAACAAATTTTGTTTTTAATGGAAGTATGTTTAAAAAAATTCTCAAGTGATGCTTAATAAGTTAAAAAAAATTTTACATCTACTTTTGTATTTGTTATTTTAAGATACTGTGAATAATCTCCTAACTTAAAATATTTGTTAGAAGAAGACTTAATTAGAATATAAAAGATTAAGTACAAATCAGGATTATCAGTGACATTTTATTACCATGGATGCCTGGTATAATAAAATTGAGATTCATAATAAAAATAAGGAATCAAAATCCAAGATAAACTTCATTCAACCTAAACAGTTAACTATAAATCATCTCTAAATATAAAAGATTATTGTTTAAACAGGCTCACTGGTGCACAGAATGCACCAGCCTCGATTTTTATGGTGTCAAATTTCTCAGTGTCTGGATGACGTGGAAATCAATGTATTTGTTTATCTAACCCTTATTGTTTTTCTGCTACCTTCTTACCTGACATGACCTTTATTACTCCCTATGCTTTTTAAAATTACAAAAATTTAAAGTTAGAAAAGAAATTTAAAATGACAAAAATTTAAAATTATAAAAATTTAAAATCACAAAAGAGGGGCTTCTCTTAACGTGTAGATAAAAAGAATAATTTAAATGAACTACAGAATTTATTTTTTATAATAATAATACAATAGTGCAATCATTTTTTAATAATAGTAATTATTATCCAATTAACAAAATTGGACCAATAATTGTTTGTGAAAACAAAAACTATACCAATACTCCTATTTCTAATAATTTTTCATTCTTTAAATAAGTTTTAGGAAATGTATTTTGAAAGACTCTGGAATTTTCTCACAGTTTTTCTTTTATGCTCTCTGAAAAAAATTATTGATTTTCAATATCAACATTTGTTATTAATTTTCGAATTCCAATTACAGATACATTTAGTACAAGAGCATTGTATAATTTTTTTAATTTATAAACGTTTTCATCCCCCTTTTTAAAAATTGTTCTATCTGTAAAATGAGATATTTCTTTAAATCAAATAAATCTGATATAATACGATTAACCTTAAATCAATTTTGAAAATATGTCGAACATAAAATGCATTTTATTAAAAATTATTCAATTTTTTTTTATATTAGTAATAATTTATTTTTTATTTTTTCTGTTGGCATTATAGAACAGGTCAATCTTTTGCTAACTTAACAAACTTACTCCATCTATGCCTGTCTTGGACTATTTTTTTCTATTGCATCTTTGTTGATTCTTCCATCCATCTGCTTTTTAGCCTTCCATGTGGTCTTTTGCCTTCTATTGAGATATTCATTGTTAATGTAGAGGCTTACAGTTGGATTGCTGCGAGCTACATGCCCTGCCCATCTTAACCTCCATGCCTTGATTTCATGGGATATCGATTGACCAGTTCTTTATTGGGCTTTCTTCTCCATTTATTAGTACTCTGATCCCAGATCGATCTGGTTATTGGGTAGAGGATTTTTTTCTCTTAAATCTTTCAACACATTTTTCTAGGGTGCTGGTTTGTGTCCACAGCCAGGTCTCACAGCCATAGATTAGAACTGACTTCATCATATCATACATCCTTAATTTGAGATTTTTCGGGATTTCAATATCTTTGAAAGGTAGAAGAAAGCTCTGTTTGCGCTAGTTATACGCTGGTCTATTTCTACCTATTGGTCATTCATGGAGGTTATTATGGAGCCAAGGTATTTGAATTTTTCTCCTCTCGGGAATGATTTTCCATCTACGCAGATCCTATTATTGCAGTGGAATTTTTGGCTTATTATCATATATTTAGTTTTGTCTACATTTACTTGTAGGCCGATCTGCTTTGCCTCTGTTATCAGAGTCTTAGAGAATTTCTCAATGTCCTCTTGATTACTTCCAAGGACAGCTGTATCATCTGTGTATCCAAGGACTTTATGATTCATTCCAACGTGGACTCCTCCATTTTCCTGTAATGTTGTTCTTATTACCTTCTCCAGGTCTAAGTTGAACAACATCGGTGATAGTTCATCTCACTGTTAATTCTCCTTGTATTAGAACTCTACTTTTTGGGTCATTTATACACGTCTTTGTCAATCTCACCAACTTACCTGGAACTCCCAGATCAGTCATGATTTTCCAAAGACACCTTCTGTTCACAGAACTATAGGCTGCTTAAAATTGACAAATAGGGCATGGATGTCCTGAGCTGCTTCCCATAGTTTTTTGAGAACTTGTTTTAGGATGAAGATCTGGTCTAGTGCACACCTCCCATTTCTGAATCCAGCTTGGTAGTCACCTATTATATTTTCGTAATAGGGACATATTTGGTTCAGTAGGATATTGGTAATTATGTTGAAGGCAACAGGAAAGAGTGCTATGCCTTTGTAATTACTACACTCATACATGGAGTTTTTCTTTAGGATAGGACATATTAGGCCTGTATTGTAAGCCTCAGGTATCCCCTCCTTTTTCCCATATTTTCTGGATTAGTTGTAGGAACTTGGTTCTTAAATCGTCTCCCTCATCTTTAAACAGTTTTGATAGTAGGTTGTCTGTCCCTGTGGCCTTTCTTGTTTTGAGCCTTTCGATAGCTATTTCTACATCCAGTATATCTGGTTTTTGTTCAAGGTTCTGAGTGTGCTCCATGTCTTCTTCTGTGGGATCTCCTTGATTGAGAAGTTCCTGGAAACGTTCTTTCCAGAAGTTTGATATCTTTTCTTTAGATGCCGTCTTTCCCTCGCATTTCTCGTTACCCTTTCTTTTCTAATGTCTGCATAGAATTCGGGTATATCTTTAGCCTGCCGGTTTTCCTCAGTGGTTTACAATCTTTCTTTGAGGAATTCCTTTTTTGCTGATCTTATTATTGATCAACATTCCTCTAATAAAATAACAAATGTTATCAGATAATAAGCAATCAGTGTTTTAAATGGTCTTTAAAAGAAAATGTTTTACATAGAATACTTGATAATTGTTTCTCTAACTAGTAACTTTAAAAATAATTAACTAACCGAATCTGTAGACAGTGATCGAGAGTGAAGTTTTGTCTGAGGTGGTAAACTTCTTGAGTCGTAATGTACATGGTGGGGCATCTTTGGTGTTGTTGGTGCTCCAACTGAAGAGTAAGGATCTCTTATAACATTAAGAGAAGTGCACCTATAATGAAATGAACCACAGTGATTAAAAATCTTATCTTATTATTTTTTTTTATGATTTAGGTATTGGTGATTAAAAAAAAAGTGACATTTTATTTTCCCAAGCCATTTCTGTGGCTTTCAATAAAAAATAAGTACTATTGAAAAATAAAGAAACCTTATGCAGTTGAGTTTATTGGCAAAGAGTAATTTAGATCTGTCAAGTTATCTGGAAAGTTATCAATTTGCTTTATTTAAGTCATTCATATCTCTGTTAGAAGAACAACATAATTTAGAATACGAAAATGATCATATGTAAGAATTTAAAAAGTGATTCTTTACCATATAACTTTTAATTATTTATTCTTCACGTTTTGGCCGAATTAATAACATAATCAGTTCAATCGTAAAAATATAATAAAAACATATGTTTATAAAAACATACTGCCTTAGAAACTGAGGAATGACATTTATATAATACACGCAGATGTCTATAAAAACCCTTCCAACATCTTCCTGGCTTAATCCTGTAGACTATTTATGGGATGGAATAATCGTCAAACACAACCATAAATTACCAAGACTCCTTATATAAATATATTTGTAATAGTTTTCAAGGATCATTACAGAAATACTACTTGTAATGAACCAAACGACTTGAAGAGCTAAATTAAATTTTGGAAAGGTTTTAATAAAATAAGGATTGATATGAAGTCTTAGATACAAAAAATTCAGAAGTTATGTTAAAGAGTATTACTAGAAACATATATTGTTACTTAAAATTGAGAAGTTACCTAGATACAGATGACTGCAAAGGTGTCTCAACTGATACAGGAGTGGCATATCCCATATCTGAGGGTGTGTCCTCTAGTTCAGCATCACCATCCAGGTCTTCCCTGCCACTGTGCCACCAGGCTATGCACCACTCACGGATCCATCGCCAACTCAATGGTCTTGGTTTCTAGAAATATTATATTATTGGTGTAATTTTATCAAATTACATTTTTTATCATATCAGGTTAAATTAAGTTTTAGAAGGAAATATTATATAATTAATAAAAGGGTCTTATTTGACTACTAAATATTTTATTTGTTTATTGCCCTTCCTCTCCTTCCAGCAACAAGTGTGTTGGCAACATTAGAATATCTGAAAGATCAGATCTGCATTATTGGTAGTTTTCTTCAGTCACCAGACAAGGAAAATCATTCTCTGATAGAATCTAGAGTCCAGTTTTCCTCATTAGTTTAACTTTAAGTGCTTCAAAGGCTGTGCAGTTCACTATGATATGCTCAGTTGTCTTAAGATATCTGCAACTGTGATATAGAGGTTCAATGTTCATTCCTAGTTAATGTAGCATACTACAAAAACTCCCATGAGCTGTGAGACATCACGAAAATCAGTAGTCCGGTATAATCAATCCATTTCACTTCCATTCCAGAGTTATCCCTCCTGCTAAAACCTGCATGGCTTCATGAAGCACACCCTGATACGACCTATGACACGCAGCAGATTTGTCTGCTGAATAGACGCAACCTGTATTTCTGCTGGTATGAGGGATTCTTGAACCAATCAGGGGACACATACCTCAGAATATCCCGTATCACTTGATTTTATCATTGCTAGACATCTGATGCTCCAAAAGACAGCCCCTATCCCAAGACAAATTAGGCTGTTCAAGGCTAGGGATACACTATTTCCATGCCGGTTTTATTTTGAAAAGTTTGTAATTTTTTTCCTTTCATATGTGGTACTGCAACCCACACTTCAAGACTGTTCATCGGTAAATGAGAACTGTAATCAATTGTTTTGTTAATTAGGAGGGTTGTATCTTGGGTTAAAATTCGAGGGATTTCACAGCATGTTGTTACTGTTGTGCACCAGTTACCGTGTAATTGAAGAAAAATAAAAATCTACGTAAATGGTGTTGCATATTTTTTTTCACCATGACATGAACAAGAACTTTATCAACTTATCCCAAACTTGTACGACCACAAATGTAGGAAAATCGGTTTATACAGTTGATAAAGAGAAGACATGGCCCCAGTCCAAAAATATAAAGAAGAGACAGCCCTTTATAAGAGACATGGGATATGAAAAGCTAAAGGACAGCCATTGAGTGAGAGCTATATGAATGAGAAGGCGACAGGCTATGAGGGCGCGGACTGGGTGCCACTTAGTAAACTACAAGCCTCCTGCGGGGGCGGCTCTCCTTTTAGCACCTTATCTTGGCCTCTCTTGGGCCACTCGCTCTATTGGGCTGTTTATACAGCCCTCTTCTATATCTTCCATCGATGATTGTCTTCCCTATCTCCTTCTCTTATTACATTTATCCAGCCAATTCTTTTGCTGCATAAAAATTCATGCCTGTATATTTTCTAGCTAGGTTATTTTAAATTTTCCAGTGATTATTAAAATGTAGAAATTCTAGATACCATGAATTTACCGTTATCATTATGAATACTTAATCATAATAATTTCGTCACAGTGTCCGTCATTCGCGGTATCATTACAGTTGTCTAAAAATTTGAGGTAGATGCGGGTTCTAATATATTCTATTCTATTTGTTTTGTGGTCTACAGATAAGATCCAGATATAGAAAAAACATTAAGAAACAAAAACAAATTGAATTCATTGACACACATTCTCATAAAAGAAGTAACTGAAATCTTCGTGTGATGATAAGTAATACATAACTAGTAATTTAATATATATGTAATTAAGAATTATCATCAGATATGAGAATTGATGTACTCACCTTTTGGTATTGATTTGGCTCTAAGACGACTCCGTATTCGGAAGGATCTTTCCCGGAGTTTTCAAGTCTCGCTCTTTTCCAGTCTTCTAAATCTACAGCCTCATCACTACAATATCATAAAAATAAGGCAGATTAATAAGAATTTATAATCATCAGGGAAACTAACGTCTGAATCATCAGATTCGAATAATCATTGTTTTATTATTATTTTTTTTTTTTTGGCTTTAATTTAATTTAACATTTTATGAACTATTGCAGAATTTTATATATTGACCAGCTATGATGGGAAAAATATCTGTTTCCAATATATTGATACGCATATAAAAAGTAGAATTCCACGGACCCTCCTTCGTGTTAGAAATGTGATCTTTTCAACGACGGGGACTTCCTGAACAAACATGGAACACCTCAGCAAAATGCACTAACTGAAGAGAAAAGAGTCTGGAAATTTTCCGTAGCTGTGATATTTCATTGGCTTTAAGAACTCATTGGATATTCAAAAGTACTCTTCTATGTCTTTAATAAACAACACTTCTAAAAACAAAATCTTCTGTGCGCAATACACAACTTTCACTTACAGCTCTACTTTGAATAGAAATTATTTTCTGGCAATGTTATAATTTTTTTTTTAATTTGAAGTGAATTTTAAACGAAGCTAAAGCCCAAAGCTTACAAATAACAAATCATTAAAACCATTAAAATTACAAAAACTCTATTTATTACATCGACGGTAGACAATAAAAATCTAGTTATTCTACCTACTTTTATAAACTACATAATTTCAGTCTCTATGTGTGCATTTCAGTTAACAGAATGACTAAATCCAGTTTCAACATTTTTGAGTAATGTCATTTCAGTGATATTTCTAGTTGGAAAAGATACATTTATACAGTGTGTAAGTTTATTTCAGAGTAGGTGATTGAAGTGTTGAAATATAGAACTGTGAATAAAGATAAACAGTTTGCCACTAGAAACATCACTAAAATTAATAATAAAGAATGCTAAAATTGGAGTTAGTCATTCTGTCAACCGAAAGGCTCATTTATGCCTAGAGAGATTTGAAAGCATATTCGAATTATTAGCCTATAGATGATTATGGGCTCTAGGACTATTAATTATAAAACTATTATTTTCCATTGTAAAGTAAACTAAAATGAAATTACGAGCTTTCATTTCTTGCCATGGATGGGTCAAAAGTTGTCACACTGATTGTAAGTGGATAATGTTAGGATTTTACAAATGGAAAATTCATCCAATTATTCACTAATTAAATTTTCTAAAAGGTTACTTATTGATTTTTTAGAATAAACGGCCGATAGATACCTAATTATTTAAATATAATATGATATCTAGAGTTATTAAATTACTGTAAGGTTATAAATATATGCATGAAATATTTTTATATTTTACTTCTTCTTTCACATAAGTACAATTAAATAGTATTTTAAACAATGACATTGGCATGATTCGGTGGATTTTAAATACTTTTTTTCAAACTTAGAAAAAATTTTAAAAGTTTACATTTACTAAGAAAATTTCACTTAATTTCATTGGAAACATGTGATTTACGTTAAATAATGCTAGTTTTCTGAAATTATTATTTCTATTTTTTTCGTCAATCTGCGTTACCTTCTACACATTTATTTATTTAATACTATTTTTTCAAAAATTCTCCGCTTTCCAAATATATATTATACGTATAACTTTTAACTATTATTTCCGGAGATTCATTTTCAATCTGGATAAGCATTTTTCTTTTTTTCTCCAGTTTCCAAATATCATATTATTTCAAACTTTATATTTAGTCATTTTTTATAGTTACTGTCAATAAAAGAGAGTTAATTTTTTTAAATATACCATATTAAAGATACTTTAGAGGAAGACGTATATGAACATTGGGCATTTAAGCTCTGTAAAGTGACATCAATGGGAATAAAACTAAGTGATATTAAAGACTACTTAATTGTTCAATGATACACCGAGTTTAATCAAAATCGTTAAATCCGTTTTTAAGAAAATTGTAAAAATTTGTTTCACCGTTGATATAAAGAGGCACTTCCGGTTAGCCGATTTTAAGGAAAAAGTTGCTGTCACACTTAAGGCATATACCTATCTTAAATACGTAATATCAGTTTCTTATGACTTTTCGTTTTTGAGCTAGACTGTTAACAGACACACAGATCAATTTGCGGGTATTATTTCGACTCAGGGGACCTCAAAACGCATATTTCCGCTGAAAACTCAGATTCGAAAATTTTCACGATCACAATACTTTCCCTATCTATATATTACATATATTTAGGTTTACATGTATATTTAGGTAAGTGAAAGTAATTATTCGCTTTTCACTTTATTCACAAAAAATGGTGCTCTAATAGAAACAAATGTAAAATTAACATATGTATGTATAGATTGTACAACTTAGAATCAGATAATATATAGCAAATTAAAGAGCTCTTTGGGCCCATAGTTCGTCTTCATTTCGATTTTATTAGAGAAAAAACATTTAATTATCAGTTAGGTTCCTGTATTACGTTTACAACATGTAATTTTTTTATAACTGGATTGTTTAAGGAGGTAATTTTAGTCTGAAAAAATCTAACTATTCATACTTAAATCTGCACTTATGCACAAATTACCTACCTCACTATTCAACAATCCATTTTCCGCAGATTTAATACCTTTAACTTTTTTTTTATGTATGGAAGTATCTGTAAAAATGTTAACAAAGCAATTGAAAATATTATGCATTTTAATTTAAATCTTTGAGGTAGTGAAATAAACTCCTGATTATCCGATTCTTCAAATTTGTCGCAGGAAATTTCATAAAATCCTCACGTAAAATTGGAACGCTGCATCTTAATGAACTACAAAATCCTAGGATATCTTGCTACATATAATTTTCTTTGAATATAAACTAAAATTTTAATAATAGGGACATAGAGCGTGGTGCTTCTAGGCCTTAGCTTAGCTATTTAGTCGACTTTTCCTATTTTCTTAATTAATTTTAGTTTGTAAATTTTAGTAATTGTTGTAGATTCTTTGTTATACCGAACAATGTGGCGAATGCACACACGCGTCATAACACGCACTCTGAGAACCAGTCACTGATTTATAGTAATGGCATAATAATCCTCACAAGACGACATGATTTTACGTATTTTTCATTGACACGATACAGTTTGTAAGAATAATGGAACTGTTGGAAACTTGGGTCAAAAAACAATTATTGCATTTAATCTTTGAGGAATTAAGTACAGGAGCAGATTAAGTCAAGTAAAAAAAAGTTTCAACTTACAGGCTTTAAATTTAACTTCTATTTTGAGATTTGTTGGATTGTTTTATTAAGGTTTTCATATCGTTGTCAGTTATTATCGAATTGTTTAAGTTAAGATAATGAAAATATCATGGATCCTTCTGGGTGTTTTGCTATTAAGAATCCTGTACTTCGCTCAGGATAAATCCATACCGGATTAAGCAACAGATATCTTGATAATCTTAATAGTTTTAGTCTCGACGGATCTTCAAAATAGAAACAGAATGGATTAAGACATAGTTAAGTTCTTTTTCAATAAAAATGAATCTTTGAGCAAATTTATTACTTTATGACTGACTGAGAATCGGAAAGGCATTTTCACAAGATCTTAGAGATAAGATTTCCATTTTACTCTATTATTCGATTTAGCCACATTTGAATCGGAGAACATGAGATTTGCAATAAGTTCTGACGGGAAGCGGGAAGGATATTAAGGAAGTTGCCGCTAGTGGGAGGAATAAGAGGGATTGCTGGAGTGGAGATTGGCAGCGCTAAGAGAGTGATGCCAACAAATGGGACCATCCCAGCAGAACATATCTCGTGTCCTCGTCGACTAACCGTCTCTATTAGGTTTAGAATTCGCTTTAATTACACAGTTTAATATTTGAAATTATGTCAACTAGAATTTTATTTTTGGTTTATTACTTTTCAATAATGAACCTTTGTAATCGACCAAAAAGTTGACTTCCCTCCTAAAAATTCAAGGTTTTACGTTTTAAGAAAAATAGAATCCGAAAATCAAATAAAAAATTCTATCCGTCCTCCATTATTATCCTTCATCCGTCTGCGGTTATTTTCCGTGACTACTAGACCGATTGTTTTGCGATTTGGTATCAATGCCAGAAAAAAGAAAAAATGGACAACATAAAAGTGCCAACATAATAATATATATACTACATGACAATAAATTTAAATATGGTATGCATTTCCATTTTAACACAATAAGGTCGGAGTCCTTTTAAAGACTTTAATATTGAAAACCAAGGATTAAAACATGTGAAAAGTTTTAATCTTAAAACTGTTCATTAAACGGAAGTACTATAAAGGAGCGGGGTTGCCGAGCGAACTAACGCATGTGCAAATCACCGACCGTTGCCCGACAACCTGATAACCGAAGTTGTAGATGGATGAAGAGTTCGCGTCTGGTGCCAGAGGGGCTTTCAACTGTGACATTAATCTCCCGCCCTCACCCCCTGGCCCGGAAAACCCCCTATAGCCTAAAATTCGTGGAAGTGGAGAACAAAAAAACAAAAAATAAATATAATATTATTAACAAAAAAAAAAAAATAAACATTCCCTTCTAGAATAAAAAATTAAAATAAAGATTTTCTCCTTAAATACTTGAAAATAAAAAAAATTAAATAGACGATTCATCATAAATCTGATAGATTTAATTATTACTAAATCTACCCAAAACCACGATAATGATGGAGCTTAAATAATGAGTGGTTCATTAGTTTTTGCCATGGGTAAAAAAATAAATGTTGGGCTATTGTAAAATTTTTGAAGTGAAGTTTAAACGGAGCTAAAGTTCAAAGCCCACAGATAACAAATCATTAAAACCATTAAAATTACAAAAACTCTATTTATTATATCGGAAGTAGACAATAAAAATCTAGTTACTCCAACTGCTTTTATAAACCACTTAACTTCAGTCTTTGGTCTATGTGTACCTTTCAGTTGACAGAATGACTAACTCCAATTTCAACAGTTTGAGTAATATCATTTTAGTAATATTTCTAGTTGGAAAAGTTTTATCTATACTGGCAGTGAGTAAGTTGCAAGAAATGCATCTCAAAAACGGTAATATTTAGGGTTTTTAAAACGTAGGACTTTGTGCCATTCTTTGGAACAGTGTTGAAATGAAAAAAAAATACATATATTCCGTCTCGCTAATCCAAATTTTGAAATTTCCCAAGTTTTTAAATAACTTTTATTAAAGTTGTATAAATTTAAGGACCAACATTGAGATTCTCCATGAAATTCACTTTCGTCCGTGATATCACATTCATCAAAATACATCTCATCTGAAAAGAGAACTATAGTGCCGTTTTATAGGTATTGTAGATTATGGTATCTATTTAGGGTATTAACATTAGTTATCTGCGGTTGGATTTTCAGATTTTAGTCTTTCTACGCCTATTGTTCATCGTAAATAAGGAGCGAAAATGACTTTCTTTCTGTGATTCCTTTACAAAAAATGTATACACTAATAGTTAAACAAAGCTAAAAGAAGATATTTTTTACCTAAGGAAGATTAGGGCTCCAGATAATGACATCGATAAGTAAGAAAGGACGCCAGGGTGGGCAGGCACCAGGCTATCCTCCCGTTATTAGGTACCGCCTAAAAGACCTCGAGGACAATATAGAACCTTATCTTCACAAATGGGATACTGGAGATGAAGCTCGGAGCTCGCTAAACCCTTTTATTACTGGTAATAAAACTGTTTTCAGCCAGAATCTTAAAAGAGAGTTGAAAATATTTGGGAATAAAACAGCTGATTTATGATATTTAACAATATTATAACAAGAATAATGTATTGACAGGCCGAACTTTATCATTTCTACATATTGTTCTTAATTATAACAATAAAAACAGAATATTTAATTGGAAAAATGTGAAATATTTAATTATTGAAAAGAATAGTTTCTCTTGTTTTTAAGATGTTTCTCTTTAAATAATCATTATTAACAAGGAATAATAAACGTCTATTATTTTCATGGTTTTACTTAATGATTGTTAATACTTATTGTTTTTAAAACATTTTTTTGCTTTAAGTAAGAAAATTAATATGCGGATTTTAATTTGCATATAAAGAATATATTATAAATTGATATATAATCTTTATGAAAAAAAATGTTTAAGAACAAAACGAATTCATTAGAGATCAAAAATAATTGAAGAATTTGTTTATTTATTATTTGAGGATAATAATTTAGTAATATTTATTAAATAAATATTGCAGCAAAATATGAAGAAATAGTTTACTATAGATGATGTGGTTGGGAATAAAGTTGGGGATTGCAGGCAGTGAGAAACAAATAAAAATAATAAACATTTATTTTTTTATTTTGTATAGAGCATTTCGGCATACGTTTTAGGCCTATCTCAGGACTGAGAATAGACAAGATAGCTACAAAAAATATGTAGTTTTATGCGTGTTTATATATATATATATATATATATATATATATATATATATATATATATATATATATATATATATATATATAAGATATTTCCTATCTTAAGATATTTCCTACCTTAAGATAACCTATCTTAAGATATTTCTTGCCAGTTATTTGTATGCTAAATATGTGTACATTAAAATTAAATATATACAGCATCTCATTCCTTTACAAAAAATGTATACACTAATAGTTAAACAAAGCTATAAGAAAGTATTATATATATATATATTACATACACCTACATATATGACGATTGTTATGTTAGTATATATTCTTGTTGTCCTCAGCTAATATTAATTTAATTTTTCGTTTACAATTTACCTATATATATATATATATATATATATATATATATATATATATATATATTACATAAACCTACATACATACATGACGCTTGTTATGTTAGTATATATTCTTGTCCTCAGCTAATATTAATTTAATTTTTCTTTTAACATTTACCTATATATATATATATATATATATATATATATATATGTACTTAATATAACAAACATATATTTTTCATTATTGGTCATTGGCAATTTCATCATCAATTAAGGATGATTAAATAATATGGTTTAAAACTTAAGAAATGGGAGGGCACTCCAGTAACGCTAACCACTCGGTGCAATAACATTTGCTCCCTGGCGGGATATGAAAACAAGGAGGCAGCGTTTGCCGTAGAGACCTGGGAAGCCATTAAGAGCTGATTTACGCGGCATTATGGCCGCAACTAAAGCGACATTTGAATTGCTGGAATTTGTCTTCTGAATCACTTCTACCTACACTTAGCCCGTTTAATGTTCGGTTAGTCCGTGTCAAAAGTTCCTTCCACGGTCCCCAAATTTTTATTTTAGTGACACGTAACTAGATGTGTGTTTCTTAATGTGGCATAAACAATTTGAAATGATACTGGCAGTGGTGCTAATATTTAACATTGCTGGTATTATGGAAACCTTTAATATTGAATTATCAGCTTCCTCTGGTCTGTTCCTTGTTTCCCCTTTGCCATCTGGTTTGAAACTTTTCATCTGAAAATTCATAATCCAGTTTGAAATGTGTGTGTCACCCTCAAGAATATTTGTGGTACAACTTACCTCATGATATTTTGGGTACTCCTGATCAACATAAGTATAGGAGAAGCGAATAAAAAATCAGAATGGGAGAAGGATATTATGCGACGATATGTAAAGTAAGTTTGCATGAACTCAGTAATGATTATGAAATCTGATTAATATACTCTGACATCTCGAAAAATAAAAAATAAGATCAGCACTACTGCGTATAAAAATTAAGATATCCACAAGTATACGTATACATTATCGGATTCCTAAACTCGAAATTAAATTGACTATTTCCTTGGAGTCAGATCATGTTCTAGTTATCACGAAACTTATAAAAAGTTTTTTGTAAAAATTTTATTCATGATATTGACAAATTTATTAAAAATAACAATACATAATCTGGTAAATGTGATCACAAAAATATAAAGAAAAGAAAACACTTGTCGGGAAACTACCTACTGGTAGCACTATAAAAATATATTTACATTGGATGATCGCAAGGTCATCTTCTTTTCAGATGCCCCGGAGTTATATCAGGGATGGAATAGGAATTAAGGATAGAAACGAGAGGGTTCCGATGGTTCTGAAGTTTATTATGGAAGGATAGGTATCTGGTATATATTGGGCCAAATCGGAAACATATCGAACATTAAGTTCTTTATGGTTGCCTTTATTTTGGATAAAGTAAGAAGCATTAAGGATTTTACGAAGGATTTTTGATTGTAAAGATTGAATACCTGAGGAATTGTATGGTTTAATGGAGTCCAAAATCTTAACTCCGTAAGCCAAATAGGCCTTATTATATATATATATATATATATATATATATATATATATATATATATATATATATATATATATATATATATATATATATATATTGGAATTGGAATCTTTGAACGTTAATCGAGTAAGTATTGGAAACGTCGAGCGGTTTCTTGTCGCAAAATTGATACCAAGCGAGGCGTTTGTCCAGGTGGAGTACTAGGTATCGGATTTTGTATACAAGGATTGATGGGGCGTTAAAGGAAATTATAAAAACATAAAAAAATGTTTTATTTTCCGTAAATTGGCATAAATTAAAAATTCCTTCAATCAAAAATTAATTCCAGCTATTACTTAAAAATAAGTTTGAAGTTTTAGCATCTTCTGACGAGGATATTGATGATATAGACAAGTTATGGGTCAGTATCGAGTACAATATTAAATATAAAATATAATATGGTTCGAGATAATATTTAATAAGTCCGTAATTGGTGTCTTTGAAAAAAGGAAAATGAAAACAACAAACTGTCGTGCCGATAATGATTGTTTAAATAATTAGAGATGAAAACAATCTTAAAGAATGAAACAGCTAAGTTGAGCTAAAAGTAAATAATAGAAATCGAAATAAGGTAAAAGGGTATAGATCGCGTAAATGTTTGGGACACGTAGACCGGGACAGCAATAATAAGGAATTCAAATTGAAATGTCCTGGTCAATCCGGTAGAAAAATTACATATGTTTATTTATTATATGTTAAGTTATCTTTCATATCGGAAATAATAGTACCCAAAATGGTAAAATATAACCATATTTTATCGAAAAAAAATATAAAAAAAGTACCTCTTAAAGTATTATTGTTCGTGTAATTACATTTAAAATGGCTGTAGGAATCTTTTAAACACCATTTCATATAGGTACTTAGTTTCTTTATTTTTTTCCAAAGTAATTATCGTTATTTTTATGAAAAAAAAACTTTCGGGCTGAAGCCCCCCAAAAATAAATCCTGGATCCACTAGTGAAATGGGGTACTTTTAGATTGTAAAAATAAAACAAACTAAAATCCTCTATATTTTCTAAATATAAAAGTTATTATAATTACATTTGCTGTGGACTGTTCCATGTTTTTCCTTGTCCCCTGGTTCGAAAATAATTCCAAATTGAAACAACACGAAGATATGTTTCTCACCAAAAACCTACAGCCCCTTAAAAATATACCCCCTTCAAGAATTCATAATCCTGCAAATATATGCCACTTCAGAAGTTTTGATGGTAAAATTCGCTCTAAGCTACACAATTCTGCTCACCTTTCCTTCAAATTTATAAGATATAACCAGTTAATGAACATTTAATAACGCACATATTAAAGAGTATAACAAACATCACTCAGATATTTAAATCAACATGAAATCTTTTACCACAAAATCAGACGAGAATTTTAAAGAACTTAATTAAGTGAACTCCTACATTCTTATTGTTGTCCTTATTCTCAATGTCAGCCGCAGAAGAAACGTGCTAACGACTGATGTATTCATCAGGCAAAAATGATAGTTATATGAAAAATTGATATTTTATAGAATTGTTAATAAATAAAATCAGATTATCAACATTAATTTCTTAGAACTAACATTGTTTTTCTAAACATTAATATTTGAACACATGATATCATTTTATCTTGACTAAATATAGTACAACACCTAACAAGCATGCTTAGCAATCACACTCATGTTACATGCATAACCGCCATGATGCACCCGGGCACAGACCTGCTAAACAGCATGCCGTATCACAGTAAACAATAACACGATTAAGAGTCAGTAATGGTAGACATTCCTTTCAAACTCAACTATCATTTTGTCATATGCATACATTTCATATTCTACTTAACGAAGAGACCTTTGTTCAAATGAAGTAGTAGGTTGAACATTTTACTAGCATTTTTTTTTCATTTTATATTGTATTTTTAAATTGTAATTTTCTATTTTTAATGACATAGTTCTAAAAATAAATAAATAAATATAAATATTGATGACACTTTATTTTATACAAAGCAGGTAGGTTCACTTTGCTAAATGCTGGTATGCGTTTGGCGTCTTTTTATAATTCCTTTATTAGAATATTCTTTGCAACTCATTTTAAAAGTTTAAACCATTTGCATCTGCGCTGCAGCGCACCTAGCAAATTTGATGAATTAGGCACTACGAGTTTGCTTGATTAACTTAATTTTTTTATTATTGAAGGAGTAGGCCCCTTGGCCATTTCCTTTTTAGTCTGTGTCGATCAGGAAACAGGTAACGGTCTGTGTGCCATTCTTTGTATCTCTTGTATGTATATAGCTCATAAACTAAGATGAGCTCGAAGCTTAAGACCCTTAACGACTTTGCTGAAAGATGTGTTTAGCGCGCGCAATATTCACTAAGATATTGCTTATTTATTTTTTTTGTTTTATTATATTTTTTTCATTCTCTATAAATTAGCACTGAGTATGGTGAAAATTATCTAATATTTTTACCTAAAAGCCTTTTCGCTTCTCATAGATAATTTCCCTATGGCTCAAAAGTTATACATTTGATTATCAACTCTTAGAAGGCAAGTAAAATCTATAAAAAAAATCACGTAAACCAAACCATAGCAATGATATCGTGTATTGGAGGTATTTATGTTTAGTTTTTCAAAAACTGAAAAACTATGCATCTTCTCTCATCTCACCCAAGTAAAATCTATAAAAAAATCACGTAAACCAAACCATAGCAATGATATCGTGTATTGGAGGTATTTATGTTTAGTTTTTCAAAAACTGAAAAACTATGCATCTTCTCTCACCTCACCTACGACGTCGTCGTTCTCCACCTGTGATATAAAATACTTATAAAATGCTCATCAAATAAGGGATCCCAAATCTACGGGCTATGTAATGTTCTTGTATGTGCCCTTAAATATATGATATTTATATACTTACTATATCTGGAAATTTTTTAGCGAATTTTATTAACCTATAAAACTATAATTATGAACTGTTACTATTTTTCCCTCATGGATACACAAAAAAATATTTTCATATAACAAATATATTCGTTACTATGCACTTAAATTGTTTATTAAACATTTAGCGTTTCCTTTACTCTCCTTTCCCCATGGGTTCATTGATTCCTCACCACGTGGGTGTCCTGCTAGTTGTGCCTTAAATGAACTCTTTAATGGACAAATACACAACCAAGAAAGTTTGGAAAAACCAAACTACTCCCAATTTAGTGCTACTCTTTAAATATTCTCATGCTAAATCAATATCTGTTCCTACAGAACTTTCTATACAACTTTCTAGTTGTACATCAGTTGTGATTCAACATCTTTTAAGGACCTAATGATTTTGTTACGTAAATTGCAACTATTCGATTTAATTTACTAATAATTATTATTTTTTTAACGTTTTAACACCCTTTGGAAATATCAACAATCAGTTGTAATTTCATTTTTAATTATTACATATATAAGTATAATACAATATATATTCACAATTCTCTGGTTTTCTTAATTTATATTCCTAAAATTATAATTCTATAACGTTTTAATTTTAATCTTAATTTTTTATTGCAGGGCCGTAAACGAGAAAAATTCCGTGTAAGTTTGACAATATCAATTTGGTGCTACTGTACGTATTATACAGATACATAAATAAAAATATATAACACTGATTTTATCGTTTTAGTTTTTTTTTTCGTTTATACCTTTAAATTCTAAGATTTTAATTCGTTTTTTCGTTTATTCTCCATCTCGCAATTTCTAGCATACTGAGGGATTGTTCTGAAGGTACAATCGAACCTATTCTAACTAAAGTAAGAAGATCGAGACTGACTCCGTGGGTCTACCACGAAATAAATTTCAACCTGCCAAGGCCGGTTTTGAACCGGCGCTGCTAGACTCGAGATTGTTAAAGCAGGTAACGCTTCAATACGCTCGGCCATCACGTTTTCGTATGAAGTGCTACTGTAAATACATGAAAATAAAATCTCTTACTATGAATACCAAATTATTCTGTTCTAATTCTGTGCCGCAGAGGTAAAATGGTGTCCATGTCCATTTTTTTATTAAATAATTTAGTAACTAAGAAACAGATCTTAATAGCTCAGAGTTTTGGAAAATTAGTCCTTCAAACAAATACAAAAATCTGACACGGAGACCTTTACCTTCGGGGTACAGAATTGAAGTCCAAGAATTTTGTTCATGTGTTATGTTAATCTATTAAGCTATGGGTTTCATAGTACCGGGATGTGGGAAAGATGACATAAGATATAAACATGCAGAGTGGACAGGCGATGCAGGATGTCTGGACCAGACACCGCCATTGCAAGGTTACATGCATTCGCCCATGCATCATCATCATGCATCTAAGTCTGCCGCTCCTGCCTCTATCCTCTTCAGCGCCGGGCTGGTCACTCTGGGTTCTTCGCTCAGTCGCGGCATCTGATGGCAACGACAATGTCAATCTTATCAAAGCGAATAATGGAGGCTTGCAAGTGATCTTTTACCTGTGGCTAGAGATGGTTAATGGTGAATTAAATGCGTGTGCAAGCATTGTGAATTTACCGTATTATTTACACGGAAATAAAGCAAATGAATGTATAAAATATAAGTATCAGTAAAATAAAAATAAATTTATAACAAAAAGGCGATCTTTTGCAAAACATAATGCCCCAGATATCGTTAAACAATTTTTGTACGCATGTATAAAGAGAAAAAAAATCAATGATCACTTCCATTTTTTCTTAATAAATATAATTATAATATACACTATTTAAATTAATTCAAGACCTTTCAAACTATTCAAGTGCCATAAGAAAAAATATGTTTAATCAGAGTTACCGACGAAAAAGGCTGACAAAAGCACAAATGTGTGCTTACTGCTATGGAATTAATATTTCTCTCCATCTTTCTTTTTAAAAATATGTATGAATAATAAATAATTTTCTGTGAAATAACTCAAGTATATCTTTATTTGATCTAGATTTGGGAAACCACTGAACAGATCATAATAATACAGATCAAATCTTTAATTTTATTGCTAAACCATGAAATTAAAAGAGCTAGCATCCAAAAGTTTGAGATTTTATTTAACTGCGGCACGAAAGAAATCAGGGTAGGTCATACATTGATTTTGAAAGGGTCTATGACCGCCAGTTATTACATCGAGATTAAATAATGATCATAAGACATTGACTTCATGAACAATTAATTTATATCATACTATGATTTCTTTCGTGCCTCAGTTCATTAAAAGTTCAATATATTGAATACTGGCTTTTTTATTTTCAGCTTTAATTCAATTATTTAAAAAAAAATAATGGCGATTCAACTGCTTTAATTTACGAATTGTCTACTATTTTTTCATTTAGATGGGTCATAGCAAATTTCTGATAACTAACAAATCATAAAATTCTAGAGACCGTTAAATTAAAACATCCTTGCCTTTATGAAACATAAAAAAAAAATTATATAGACCATTAGAAATGAAATTCCGTTAAATAATCTTATCATACACCAAAAGGCGGAGTCATCTTTATTTAGCCACTGGCAGCAACGACAGAAGAATTGCAAAGATACGTCTAAAGTTTCAAAATGATTACAAATATCACACTGATAAAAAATAAATGGTGTTCACCAATGTAAGTACGAGATTATTGCCAAACAAGATGTTTAATAATGCTAAGCGAAGTGCTCTACCCAGTAGACAACCTCCTCCTCAGTTCTTGATTTGTGAATTACGCAATTTACACAACCCGAACGCTACCTAGCGGTAGCTTGCGTAAGCAGAGATAACTAAGAAAAGCCTCATGCCTGATGACTGGACTCGATTTCATTCTTAGCTAAGGCCTCCTAGAAGAACGAACAAAGACGGAATAGGTGAAAGGATTCCAAACACCAAGGAAGAATTGCCTTACGCCAGCAGAAATGGTAAATTACATTTTTCAGGGTGCATATAACCCACTAGTTGCCTTAAAATACAGTTCACTGACAAATTATTGTGTATGTTGCCTGATGTTATACTTATTAGAGTTTGCCTTTTTGTTCTAAATTTCCTTATTCGCCTAAACAGTCCTATTAAAGTAATTTCTTTTATAAGAACGTAGGAGAAAAGCCATTAGCAGTCACCGGGTAGTACACTGGCTATGGCTTTTTATAGCGATCAAGGCCATATTAACAGATTACAGGCTAGGAATAAGTATTTTAGTTGTTTCTATTTTAATTCCGTAGGGCTCAATAGAGAGTCAGTGGATCAGATGATGTGCAACGCTGTGTTTCCAACTCAGCTCTCATTATTTACTGCTTTTTCAGAAGAATCTCTGTTATTATTCACTTGAACAAGTCAAGGATACACCAAAAAGTTGTGATTTACTGTGTGCAGTTATTAACATATAGATTTTATTTTGTTATTATTACCGTGTTCATCACTAGTAAAGTGGCTAATAAGAGAACTAGGTCGTTAGGCACGAAACCTTCATCTTCTTCTCCGGCCAAACAAAAGCCTCGTGAATCTCGTCTAACATCTCCAATTTTCATTGATAAAATCATAGACCCGATTTTGTCTTTTGCACCTGTTAGCTTCGAAGAACATGAAATGAACATGAAATCCAGCCAAGCACATCACCACAAGAGAATATTGAAGAACCTCAGCCTCAACCAGAAACATCATCACAAGAGGCAATTGATGAATCCCCTTTTTCTACACACAATCCCTATCAGTTGTTTCAGAATGACGGTGAGTTAATGGAGTCCATACCGTTATCAAGAAACCAACGACCTCCCCCGATATTCATTAAGAACAGAAAACATTTCTAATTACTATGATCTCAACTAAACGAAATAGTAGGCTACGGAAGCTAAACATGTCTAAGCAGAACAAATGACACTAATATATCCCCAGATACAACTGAGATCTATAGACAAATTGTGAAGTATCTAACAGAGACCAAAGTAGATTTTCACACATATCAATTGCAACAGGAGCGAGTTTTAAGAGTTGTTATAAGAAACCTACATCTCCTCAACACCAACTGACACAATAGAAGAAAAACTGACAATTTTTGGTTTCAAAGTGCGCCAGATGTTCAATATTCTAAAGGAGAGTAAGGAACAGCCAGGAGCAAAAGTTCCTCTACACCTATTTTTTATAGATTTGGAACTGACTCCAGAGATCAATACAATTTACGAAATAACCAGATTGTACTACACAAGTGTAAAAGTGGAAAAACCGTATCCTAGAAGGAATATCGTACAGTGTCACAATTGCAAGGCATATGACCGAATGAAGACGTATTGCCATAATTCACCGCGTTATGTAAAATGTGGTGGACAACACAAGACTCGTGCTTTTTGCCATAAAGGACATCCGCCGAACTATAAAGGCTGCCAGATATACAAGAGTATTAAATCCAGATACCATTATCAGATCGAGAAGGGAACCTTCCAAATCATAGACCCGACGTTGTCTTTTGGACATCTATTAGAAGGTAAAAACGATATTACTCATTGTAAGTAATACCTACCACAATAACATTAATCACCTCAAAATTCTCAACCCCACCCTCAGCACTCTACTACTCGAACTTCACCTAATACTCAACAATCCTATCAACACCACATTCCTCCTCCATCAAATACCACACATCTCATCAGTTTACTTACATCTACCCTCTTCGAATTCAGATCTCTTGTTACTCCTTTTATATCCCTTCTCACCAATCTTGTATCACATTTCATCCCTCCCCAAAAAATCCTTAATAGACTTCCAATAAACATATATCCATTCTCCTTTGGAATGCGTATGATGTTAGAAACCATACAGACGAATTATCTACATTTTTACTTGACAAGAACATTGACGTGACACTAATTACTGAAACTCGACTAACCACTAAACAGCTCTTCAAAGTACCACAATACCTGATATATCGTATGATAACCCTGACGGAAGAGCACATGGCGGTACTGCTGTCATTTTACACCAATCCCTCTCCCATCGCGTACTCCCACCATCTACAGAAGATTTCGGTTATAGTATCTACAATCCACCGTTATAGTAATAAAAACCTTCTCCTTTTCCTTGGTTACTCTTGCATCAGCGTATTGCCCACCTAATCGAACCATATCAAATGCCCAATTCAGTTCTCTCCTCGACTCCTTAGGACATCACTTCATCTTTGGAACAGACTTAAATGCCAAACACCAACAATGGGATTCTAGAACCACGAATTCTTGTGGCCGAACCCTGCTGTCTGCACTCGATTTCCAACGTTTTCACCTAATTTCTTCCAACTCTCCTACCTACTGGCCCACAGGTCCTAACCGCAATTCTAAAATCCTTGATTTCTTTATTCACAGTTGCTGAGGTCCCCTCCATTGTTCCACTACACATCTAAATGAACTTTGTTCTGACCATAGGCCTCTAATTCTTAATGTTTCACTTGAACCCGTTTCCAAACCTTCTCCACCGTCATTTATCAGGGGCCCAGTTAACTGGGATATTTTCCGCCAAATCCTCTGCGATAAAATTGATCTCAATATATCCCTAAAAACTCTCGATGACCTAAATAGTGCCATTAATTTCCTTACTACCACAATTCAACAAGCTGCCTGGACTGCCTCTTCTCCAAAAGACTCCCCAAGAATTCGTAGATAAACCATTCTACCTCAACACCCCCTGGACAAAATTTACATCAAACGACGTACTAGGCGACTTACATCTCACCGGCCGCAGCTCCTATAATTTTGCAGTAAAAAATTAAAATTGGAATTAGCCACCTTTAGATCACAATCATTAAACTCCTACCTATCCTCCCTCTCTGCACGTGACAATTCTATTTGGAAAACCGCAACAAAAATCCCAAATCCTCACTAAATTTCCCATTCCCTTCGACGAAATGACGGCTTCTGGGCAGCATCTGATGAAGATAAACCCCAGTGATTCGCCAGACTCCTATCCAATACATTTATTTCATATCCGAAAGCCGATCCCGCCCATATCAAAACAGTAAAAGAATTTCTTACATCACCTATCTCACGTTCCTTGACTCCTAAAGCAATTCATTTTTCCGAAGTAAAATTTCAATTACAGAAACTAATTCCCAGTAAATCTCCTGGATACAAAGTCCTTACCGCTCAGTTCCTTCCATCCAAGTCATATTCCTTACATATATCTATAATTGCATCCTACGTACTACTCACTTTCCTCTATTATGGAAACACTCCAGTATTATCCTTTTCCCAAAACCAGGCAAAACTTCCAAGAATTTGATATTCTATAGACCAATTAGCCTACTCCCAACCCTTTGAAAAGATCCTTTTGAAACAAATCCTATCCTTCGTAGAATCCCAAAATCATCTTTCCCTTCAGTTTGGTTTTCGCATACAATACTCCAATATACAACAAGGACTCCGAGTCGTTGAAGACATTTCAGCAGGCCTAGAAAACAAATAATACTGTTCGGGTGCATTTATGGACATAGCACAGGCTTGTGACCGGGTATAGCACCCAGGGCTGCTCTTCAAGCTTCAAATCCATTTCCCTCAATCATTATACCTAATCCATGGATCATATCTCTCCGACCGCTCTTTTCGAGTACGCTGGAACAGCCTTTTCAGATATTTATCCAATCAAAGTCGGTGTCCCCAGGGCAGCATCTTGGGTTCCGTGCTTTACATACTCTTTACAGCTGATATCCCTGCTCATTCCGATACCTTTCTTGCAATATTTGCTGATGACACCGCAATCCTATCATCCAACTCAGATCCCCAAATAGCATCCTTAAATCTACAAAGGCACCTCTCCTTGATTGAACTACTGCATTCAATGCAAATCAAAATGATATGATTAGATTTAGCAACTGACGGACGAGGAAGGTACCGATTTAAGTATCAGTCTATAGAAACTAAATTTTTAAAAAAAAGATAAACATTCGAATAGGAATTGAAATCACCAACGTACGATCTGTCGGTTGAATTCAAAAGTGATGTTAGTCGTTGTCACAATAAATAATTATTTAGTCTATTGATCATATCATGCTTTTAAATAGTTGAATTTACTTGAAAATGGCTCTAATTAATGAGAAAGTAAGCAGTTATTCTATTCCAAGAAATCCTATTATTATTCTATATATACCTTTATAGAACTTCTCCTTAGGAGTTGAAAATCCCAAAGCTTCACTTTTTGACATACATTCCTTTTGCACTCAACAGTTTACATCTTGTTTTGACTTTCTCATAAGCAATGTTAATAGAAGTGCAATGCTACGTCACACCGTGGAATTACTAAGGGCTATTTATAATAAATCACATAATAATTATCAGTGAAAAAAAAAATGCAAAAAACGACATTTCTACGTGAAAGGCTTTGGATGTAGTGTTCAAATATTTTACCTGGTGTTATAGTCGATATATTATGTAATCTATAAAGAATATGGGGTGTTTTATTTACAAATGATGGAGGTGAAAGGTTATAATTGCAATTCAAATTCAAAACTAAACAACTACTGAAACTAAGGGGTTTAACAAAGCTATTTAATATTTTAAAAATAGATAAACTGAGATATTGTTATTTTATATTTGAGGAGCTTCTGATCTAAATTCATTTTGTCATTTTTCGTTTCCTTGACTAAATTCATTTGACAGCAGGAAAATCATGGTCGAAATTATTTCTGTACTGAAGGTCAATAAATAAAACTTTATAATTCAATGACAGGATACAAAACTGTCTAAGAAATTTTATAATTAGATTTTTCTTAGATTAATAATTAGATATACAATTCCTGTACAAATGAATTTTGAGAGAAAATGGACAAGATGCATTTTGATTTGGTACTCCTCATTTGATGAAGAAATTCTTAAAAAATATGTATAACAAATTACTCAAATTATAGTCGTATCTATTGTCGAAAATTATTATTATTAAAATTAATGCTACACAATGCATTGATGACCTGTTAAAATTTTAAAAAAATGATCAACTAAATACAAACTATACTACAGCAACATCTGCTGCGCATTAAATATAAAACATGTTTTTCTATAGACTGCAGGCGAAAACGGCTCTTTTTAGTCCGTTTTTTTAAAGGTGATGAAATTCCCTACAAAACTATATAAAAGTTGTTCATTTCGGACAACTATTAACGAAATTACAGCTATTTAATTTCTAATGTAAGATTACGGGTTCATATCTTGGCGTCAGAAAGGGGTGAATTAGAGAAAAAATATAACTAAGTGAAAGTAAGAAAATCTGTTGCCCGCATCACACAAGCTTAACTATTTCCTCTACTTTTAACATAAATTATTGTGTGACAAAATCAGGCTATGGCGAAAAGTTTTTGATCAGCAATATTAGAGGGTGTTGAAATTTTTACACTGATCTACCTCAAGCCGGTTTACATTGCTCAAATCTTTTCTTTGATCAATTTACAGGAAAAAAACAAATCTAGTTCTTTTTTTTTTTTGTTTCTTCATGATCATATGTAAAGATATAAAACCTTTTCTGTAATAAGTAGGAAAGTCGTGTGAGTGGATATACCAGATATTTGATATCGTTAACAAAAAATATTTCCACTCTAATAAATTACTTTTTTTATATTTCCTGATGATAATTTATATTGTTTTTTATTCATTGATAATGTATATTATATAACCTAATTCAAATTAATA